GCTCCGGGCAGCGGGGGCCGCCGGGCGGCGGCGCGGCCATGGACAGCGCCCTGCGGGCCCAGGGCTTGTACCGCAAGCGGGTCGCCAAGGACGGGTCGTGTCTCTTCAGGGCTGTGGCCGAGCAGGTAAAGCAGCGCCTGCGGGGGAGCGGGGAGGGCTCCTCGCCCCGGAGGGGTGGGTGTGGGAGGCGGCTCGGTCCCGTGTGCGGGCGGGGGGGCGCCGCGGCGGATCCCGAAGCGCCGGGCGTGGGAAGGAGCCTGCCGGAACGGGGAGCAGCCCTGGAGGCCCGGAGTTGGCCCCGGGGACTCGGCTGCAGGGGGCCAGGAAGCGACTGCTGCGCTGGGCAAGTCGTGGGTTTCCTTCTGGGCCTCTCCCGGCCCAATTAAAACATTTGAATCAAAAAGAAAGTGACAGCGTCATCTTGTCTTAGAGGCAAGTAAACAGCAGTGGGAGCTCTGGGGCTGACCTGGGGAGGCTTGGTGTGATCCCCCACCGCACACGGAGGGATCCCACTCGTCTTTTCTTTTTTGCCAGCAAACTTTTAAAATACTTAAGTTGTTGCTTGAAGTTATTTTGATGCTCTAGAGTCTTTGGGTAAAGAGAAGGAGTTGGGTTTGTCACCGTTTCCTTGTGAGCTGTTTCTGTATGTGTCTGTTTGTGTCTCTGGTCTCTATGTTCCTATAGTTGTGTGTGTCTCTATGTGCCTGTCTGTGTGTCTGTATAGTATCTGGAGGTACCTGCTTTCCTGGCAACTAATGTTTTTTTTTTTTTATTCTTTGTTTTTCATTTTGTATTCTGTTCTGATTAAGCCTGCAGTTTTTATGTTTTTGGGTGCATGTATCTTCATTGTAAAGTTAATCTAAGGTCACGTGCCGGTTTTCATGTAGTTTCATTACCATCCACACAGATGCCTCTGACCAAAGTTTTGGAAAATGCTCTATACTCGGGCTAGTTTACAAGGCCGGGAGTGCAAGCTAAGTTTGTAACATGCTGAATCGCAGCCAAGTTTGTAATGTGCTCTCAGGTTTTTAACGTGCTCTCAGGACCCATGCTCTCAGAATTAAAAAATGTAGCCCGGAAGAGATCTAGCTCGCAACATCAAGAAGATAGAACGGAGACATGAGTATTCCTGGCTTCAGCCCTGTGGTTGGGTCACACACCTGTTTCTCTCAGACTGGAGAAAAAGAAAAGCATAAGTGGGTCTGGGAAGATTTGATTTTAACCAGTACTTCTCTTTCCAGTCGCACAGTTTCTGTAATTAATACGAATTTACAAAGAGCAAGTGCTACTTGAATAAGCACACAAATCTTATCTTAAGATAGAAAGCTATTCTGTTGTTATTTTTTTCTGTCAGTAAGTTATTTTCATATTAAATATTTCTGTGTATGTGTTCGTTTTTTTACTTCCACAGTAGCTTAATCCTGAGTAAGAAGTAACTGGGTTTTTAATCTATGTAAGTTTTCTGTTCTGACATTTAAGTATATCTGTTTCCCTGTTTAAATTACTGAATCTTCCAAGCTTATTTTTACCAGATAGTTGGCATCCATTTGTAACTTTACCTCTGCAGTCCTAAAATCTTCTTTTTCTTTTTTTTCCCACCACACTACCCTTTCCCTGGTAGGTGTTGCACTCTCAGTCTCGGCATATTGACGTTAGGATGGCTTGCATAGATTATCTTCGGAAAAACAGAGAGAAATTTGAAGCGGTAAGTGTCATCTTTTGCTGCTGCTGTTTTCCTTAGAATTTTCTTTCTTTGTTTCTACTTCTCTTTCTCTGTCAAGCTCTATTATTCTATTCAGCAGGGTTCTTAACGGTGATCTCCTATTTTGGTAGGTGTTTAAAGCAAGCTCCCCTTAAAAGGAATTGCTGCATATTCAATAGTAACCAGATTCCATGAACTTGCTGGAAAGACTTACGTTGCTTTGGACTATTCTAGTTTGTGGAATATAATGCCAACCTAAATTTAAGAAAAAAACCAAGAAAATCCTCTTGAACCTGAGGTTTCCTTTAGTAGCACTCACAGTATTAAGGTTGAAACATTTGTATGTACTAATTTCTGAATTCTTAATTTCTCCTCCTTTATGTTGCATTAATGTTACTTCTTGCATTTAATAAATTAAGTTATTTATGATTGTGGTAAGATTTTCTCTTTTTTCCGCCCCTTGAGATCTGTAATTACAGAATGTACACCTCCAGACCAGATTAATATTCAGGTTAAAGCTATGAATTAATTGTCCAAAGCATACTTTATGCCCTTTAAGGTAGCAGAGGAGGGTGGAAATTACAACTTTTATCCTGCAAGTTGGAAAATAATCATATATTATGACATTTTTATTATGGACTGTCAGTCTAGTAGTCCAGCAGCAGGCGGTGGGGCGTGGCTCCAATCAGTGATTCAAGGGCTGTGCCACACCCTCCCCACCCCTGCTCTGCATCTGGCCATACACCCCCCCGGTCAACATCTGGCGTGCTGCAATTTTTTGATGCAAGTGTGCTGTGGAATGAAAAAGGTTGGGAAACACTGTTCTAGAGGTCATCTAATCCAACTCCCTGCCTGAGGCAGCAGCATCATCCTTATCTAAATCATCCTATAAAAATCTGTTTTTAACATATTAGCAAAACTACATAGTCAGACAGATCCACAACACACAATACCTTAATGTACTGTAGGTAACTTAGCAGAATAATCTAAAGCATGATTTTATGTATTAGAACATTCTTTTAGTGATGGCCAATTTTGTAGACTGGTATGGCAGGTATATGTTTGTTACATTTAGAAATATTGATTGTTGTTGAAAATTATCAGCATGTTGATGAAGGAAACAGTACAATCTGTTAGTAGTCTTACGGATGAGGCTGTCTGTAAAGGTCACCTATGTTAACACGCAAAAAAAGAGACCGTATATAGGAATGATATAACAAAGGTTAAAGTTTCTCCTTTTATTTGAACAAATGTCTTATCTGTGAGAGGCAAGGATTTCTGTGAGTAATATTGTGCCCGCCTCTGCTCCAAAAGGCGCTCTCGGGCAACTCTTGCGCGGGTGGCTAACCGGATCTGCCCCGTTCTCGCTGGGGAGTCCCCAGAACTCGCCGCCCGCAGTCGCGGCTGGGCCCGCAGCAGGGGGTCCCCCTCTCTGCTGCCTCCAGCGCCAAAGCGCCCCTGGGAGGGCTCTCATGGGGCTCTGACCTCCCCTACACCCCGGCCAACGCCACCTTTGGTCGCGGACCTTCTGTTCCTTGTCCCCGGAC